GGAATAGAAGGAATATGAACTCAAGTTGTAAACAATACTCAAAACTCATGAGGGTACAAACTTACCCTTCGAGAGGATAAGAGACTGAGAACCTTAGTTTTTTACCGCATACTAGAACATGCATAGGTCATAATTGAACCATGTTAGGATTAGGTGAATAGAACCACACTCACTTCTAGAACTCTAGAACTCATATTGGAACAAACTATGCTAATACAAGTTTGAGTATCATAAAAGCTCCTTCTGGGGCTCTAGAACTCATGCTCACCATATTGGTGCCTATGTATTTAAGCACCATAAAACTAAAGAATGTTTTCAACCTTTAAAATTTGTAAGAGAACATTCAATCACGAGATCGAGAGGATGAGTCACACAACTCAAAGACTAGTCTAAGGTGTTAAGTTGAAACACGCATGGGCATATATGTCTAACACGAGAGATAGATGAAGGTTTTTAGTTTAAAGTCATGAGTATGTGCACATAAGCTTAAAACTTATCTCTTAAAATATTTTACCATGCAAAAGCAGATTATAAGCTCTCATAATTTGAGGGTTTTTAACAAAAGATCTAAGAGAAAATAAAAACGAATTTTATTAACTACACTTTTCTTGATCTTTTTCCTTTTTCTCTCTTGATTGGTTTTGTCATAAATGATTTTATAATCTACACAAAAAACTTTACTTCAGTTTTGTTATCATCATAATAAAGCATCCAACATTGTCCCTTTTTTTATAATGACAAAACCTAAAATCTTCACTAGTATTATTAAAAGCATAAATTACTGCCCCTTAATCTACTCCCCGTTAACATGGGAGTAACTTTAATAAGTAACAGCGTAAATAGATTTAAGGCATACATACTAACAAAAATATAAATCAAAGAGCTAATTGAACAACATCATTTCATTTATACTTAAAAGATTACAATATATTTAGTACAAATATCAATGAGAGCAGAAAAACTATATAGTAGAAGCATAAAATAGAGAAACAAGAGACAAAAATGTAAAAAAAAATAAAGACACAATCTCTTTGCTCTAATTGATATATCCCTTTTTTCCCTTATAAGTTCTTTCTTCCTATTTGGCATTATCAAAAGGGTGGGTCAAACCAAGGTTTCTAAAGAGAACTCTAACATGGATTCTAAGGACCTCATAATCAAAAAATAGAGGAAGATTAGACTGAGGAATGTGAAGAAGAATATGAGGCAAAGGAAGAAAGATAGGATTATAGATAACCATGGTTTAGGTGTTGGAATCTAAAGGGTTCATCCTAGGAATTTGATCCTCTTAGGCTCTCTTAGCATCCAAATTGACAATCTTTGATACTTTTACTTTGTCAAACCCAATCGTCTTAGTAGAATCCATGGGAATTTTGATGTAGGGAACCTTAAATAATGAATCTTTAACATTTGTAGATTCTACTTCTAGCCCAAAAATGCTTGAAGTCCCTTCCTTTTTAGCAGGTGCCTCAATAATAACATCCCTTTATGCTATAACCTTAACCTTAGTGCCATCAAAGATTTTATGTTCCTCCTCAAGAACAAGTTTTATTCTTTACTTTTTGAGATTTAGACCTTTTGATAAAGGTGTTGGTCACAGATTGTTGAGTAGTAAGGTTAGGATTTAGGAGGTGGAATTTTATAGTCTTTAGTGGGAGATGAAGGAAGATCTTTAGTAAGTTTAGTTACCAGGTTAGACAATGTTTTCTCATAATCATCATCTCTATAGGATTGAGATGATTTTGGCAGTGATAGCAAATTTAGTCAAGGCAAGTCAGACATTGTCGGCTCAAGTCTGAGTTTTCCTTTTCTAATTATGCTTGATTGGCTCAATTTACTTTCTAGCCCAATCCTAAGTTTGCCCAATCTAAAAACATTATCAGTTTAATTAATGCTCTAAATTACTAATTTATACTCATTCAACTCACTAATTCTTGATTAAAAATTTAGAATGCTACAATCTTGATGCATTATGTAGATTCAAGGTATTTGTTTAGGCCTATATAATGGAAAAGGGATTTCATTATGTAATCATGATCCCTTTAAATGGTTGTATCCAAATTACACAAGACCCCATAAAAGGGGATGTAGACCTCTGTTAATTCATAAGTAAAAACAATATTAATTATTAAAAAATCAACCCAATATTTCAACCCCTCTCTACTGATATGAAAAAGACTTAGTCTAAGATTAATCAGTCTAGGCCCACTCTCTGAATCCAATGCGCCCAAATGTCTTTAGATAGATGGTTTTATATGTTTTATTATTCTTTTACTCTTTGTTTATTTCTTAGCATTCACAATGCTTCATTATGATGTGTCCTTTTCTATTGTAACAAGCATATTCTATAAATGATTACAATATCCTCAACTCACAAATTGTGAGAGTGCATGCATATTCTGAATCTGTCTTAGTATCAAAGCTAATGACTTTATAGCCTCTCTCTTGATTCTCACTACCTCTAGCTCTCCTCTATCCATTGTTTCCTTTACTCTATTTCTTCTTTGTTTTCTTCATCTACCAATGCATCTTACTCTCTATCTTCCTCAAACATTATCTACTCCTAGAGGCACTACCATTGTTTAGACCAACACTGGTCCATTTTGTTTATGAATGAAACCTTTGAGTGTCTCTTAGGCTCTAAAATTAGATGACTAAAGAATAGCCATGGTATTTGAATATAATGCTTTGCTTCACAATCATACTTGGGATCTATTCCGTACTCATACATCTTATAACACAATTAGATATTGTTGGGTGTTTAAAACAAAACTTGAGCTTGATAACATAGTCGATGATCACAATTGCCAAAGGGTATCATCAAATGCTAGACATCAATTATGGAGAAACCTTTAGTCCTATCATTAAATCTTCAACAGTTCATGTTATCTTAGCTTTGGAAACATCCTTGAATTGGGAAGTCAAGCAAAATGGATATTAAAAATGCTTTTTTGAATGTGTATCTTGCTTAACAAAAGTGTATATAACTCCACTAGGAGGTTTTGTTGATTTTTCCAAACCCTTTCATGTTTGTAAGCTACAAAAAGCATCTTTATGGATTAAAAAAAGCACCTTGCTCATGGTTCAATAGAGTAAGGCCAATCCTAGTCTCTTGAAGATTTCAAACATTAAGACTAATACTTTTTTATTTTACTTTTAGAATGATGATCAACTCCTGGTCATTCTTTCAAAGATTATGAATCAATTTATTCTTAAGTTGAATGAAGTGTTTTCTTTGAAAGATTTTGGCCTAGTTTATTATTTTCTTGGAGTAGAAATCTCACAAGATTTATAGGTTTCTATATGAATTAAGGCAAATATATAACAAATCTATGCAGAGATGGGATATGAGTACTTCTTTTTCTTGCAAAAAATTTCAATGTCATCTAGTTACACTTTGTCTCGTTTTGATAGTAATTCTCTCATAGAGGCCAATAATATCACTTGTTGAAAAGTTGTTGGCTCTCTTCAATATCTTGCTATTACAAAGACTTAACATAGCTTTAGTTGTTAGCAAGCTAAGTCAATTTTTATCTAGTCCAACAACCTTACAGTGGCAAGCAAATTAGTGGTGGCTATTAGAATATTTACAAGGCACCATTGATCTCTATTTACAAATCAAAAGGTCTAATTTTTTTGAATGCTCCTCGAAAAAATAATTCGAGGATAAAAATATATTTTTACCCTAATTATGATATTCATGTTTTTTACTAAATCACAATGAATCAAGGAAAAATGACAATTAAGGACCCTTTACAAATATTAATACCAATTAAAGACTATAACATTTTGAAATTCCATTTAAAAAACCATAGTCCTTAATTGAGATAAAAAAGCATATATTTTGTGAGATGGGATTCACTAACGCCACTTGAAATTCACTAACACAACTTGAAAATATTGCTAACGTATATTATGAAAATATGAACTCCGCTCGAAAATTGATTGTTTAACAAAAAGTGTTACTTGAGAATTTACTAATCAGACTTGAAAAAATTGCTAATATATATTGTGAAAATATGAAACCCCACTTGAGAATTGATTTTTAACAAAAAATTCTAATTTGGACAAGTCATTTTTTATTAAACAATTGATTCTCAAGTAAGGTTTCATTTTTTCACAATATACGTTAAAATTTTTTCAATTTTGGTTAGTGAATTCTTAAGTGGCACTTTTTGTTAAACAATCGATTCCAAGTAAAATTTTATATTTTCATAATATACGTTAGACATTTTTTTAAGTCAGATTAGTGAATTTTCAAGTAGCTTTTTTTGTTAAACAACCTATTCCTAAGTGGAGTTTTATGTTTTTATAATATACATTAGTAATTTTCTTAAGTTGGATTAGTGAATCTCCAAGTAGCATTAGTGAATTCCACCTCACAAACTATTTTTTTTATCCCAATTAAGGATCATGGTCCTTAATTGAGATTTCAAAATATTATGGTCCTTAATTGAAATTAATATTCTTAAAGGGTCTTTAATTGTATTTTTCCATGAATCAATCACGTGAGAGTCATTTGTAGGGATTTCCTTGGCCTTTTTGAGTATCATCATATCAATCTGGTGGATGTTAAATCAAACTTATCTAAACAATGTGCCATAAACTTTATCTTTATATTCAATTGGCATTCAATTTTACCTAATTGCCACACACACCATATTTATTATGCATCTCTCATTTAGATGTATCCAGGTGTGTTGGCAAAAAAAGTATCCGGGCTTGATTTTCTTCATTTTTTTCATTCTAATCCCTTTTACAATAATTATTTCATCTCTCTATTCTTTCGTGAAGAAAAATTTAGATGAATTGGATCTAAAGCTCACCAAAGCCTTGTCATACCTTTAAATTTAAATAACACTAACATATTTATTTATAGATCGTCCACTGAAAAATTGAAATTTGATCTTGCAATCTTGTAGATTTTCATCTCTCTTTTCATTGCATTAGTTCTACCCCAACCCAGTCATCATTTTTAATAGAGCATGCGCAAAACATGGCCTCGCATCTAATTTCAAAAAAGTAAGAAATACTGGTCAAGATACGAAACAAATCCGCTCTCTTCCATGTATACAATAAGAAAAAGGTGAAACTTGATTGGATCCGAATTAACTTATTCATTTTTCCTAATAAAACCAGATATAATATATAATCCCTTTGCGTTATAAAAAAGTAGAACTCTCAATTTCTGATGAGTCCTCCACTACTCCGGTTTGGATCAAGCATGTGTCCTCATGCCAGATTACTTATCCAAGGCCTCCAAACAAACTTGAACGCCATATCTGGGCTTGATGGTGAGAACAATCTCAGGAGCATGACGATAATTAGCAGAAATAGTGAATCTGAATTTAGAGATGAACATAGCCAATATGATCTTAGCTTCCATGAGAGCAAAAGCTTGCCCAATACAGTTCCTGGGTCCGACCGCGAATGGGATGAACCGGCCGGACGAGAATGACTTGGAAGCAAACCGGTTCGGGTTGAACTCATCCGCATCCTCACCCCAGAGCTTTTTACTGTGATGGATAGCTAAAACGGGAACCCAAACAGATACTCCTTTTGGAATGAGAAGGTCTCCAAGCGTTATATCTTCAAAGGCCATTCTTGGAAGCACCATTGCCGGAGGATAAAGCCTTATTGTCTCATTTATGACCATATGCAACTGCAAAAATTGCAAAATAAATAAGTGCCTAAATAATATATTTTAAATAATATCTCAAAAAAAATTCAAGTTTTGTAAAATTATTGTATCAATTATCACCATATCCAATTCGTGCTTATCGCAGTACTAATACAGTAAAATTTATACTGTTCAAATCCAATTTAAATTTAAAAATTTTAACTTATAATAATTTATAAATAATAAAAAAATTTAAGAAAATATTTATTTTAATTTTGCATCTATTAAAATAAAAATTTATTATAAATAATATATTAAATATTAAATTTAAACATTCCTTATTTAATGTAAAAGGGAAAACATAATCTTTGATCCCATAGTTCATCAAATTTTGCTTTTAGTCCCTATAATTTTTTTCAGTGTTTTTAGTTCTTATAGGGACTAAAACTATTAAAAAATAAAAATTATAAGAATTAAAAAAATAAAAGTCACCCAATCTTTTTAAAATTATATGGGCTGAAAAAACTAGAAAAAACTTACAGAAATTAAAAATAAAATTTGATAAAACTATAAAAACTAAATATTATATTTTTGCAATTTAAAATGTCCAACTTGGTGCTCATCAGTCATCCCTAGTCACAAAAGTGATGAGCATAGAAGCATACTGATGTGAGGGCAACTAGCCCAAAAAAAAATATAAAAATAACTTTTTTTAAAGCAACAAATCCAATTAAAGAATAAGTAAAAAAATAGATTTTGGAAGGTGGGTAGCCATAAACTTTAGTGATGGAGAAGAAACGGCCCACTTAGGGTCTCTTTGGTTTCTGTTTTTATTTTTTTATCTTTAAAAGTTATTTTGTAATAAATTTTTAAAATTATTTTTAAATAAAAATAAAAAAATTATTTGATTATGTCAATTAAAATATTTTAAAATTAAAAAATGAACTTATAGTTATAATTATAGACAATTAATTATGGTAATTAATAATAAAAATTGGTCAAGCTAACTATAATTTTCAATAATCAAATATAATATATTTTAAAAATAAAAAATTAAACAGTTTTAAAAATAATTAAATAAAAACATTTATTTAAAAAATGTTTTAAACTTTTATGGTTTTAAAAACAAAAAATAATTTTTCAAAACAAAAAACAAACAAGTCCTGAAACTTTTCCTTTTTAGATCGTGTTTTTTTTTTTTTTTTGCTGACTTTATCTTTTTGGAAAAAAAATAAAATTAAAGACAAGGCCTCGCGAGCAGAACAAACATTAATGTGGACCAAACCACCGGCGCACGGGTGCTTGTATACATTTTTTAAGGGAAAGTGCTCTACGCTTATATATTTATAAATAATAAATCATTTCATCCTTTTTCTTTCTTTCTTTCTTTCTTTTTGTTTTTTGGTCTTTTCCAATAGCTACATTTTATGATTTGAAATTAAAATTTTTCACTAGAAATCTAGCATATTCATTATGCTTTGCCTACGAAACCATAAGATACAATTTATTCCATCCTATAATACCTTGCACATTTTATAATTTGTTTTTTTTCATAGTATTATGTGAATTTGAAATGACCAAAAAATGTGACTTCTATAGAATTTCACAGAACGACTTGTATTTTTAAAATTGACAATTATTTTTAGCTACCTTAATTATTATTAAGATATAAAAAATTTACTTTCATATATTAATAAAATTATATTTTTATAATACTTTTGACTTTATTTTTTTACATCGCTAATAATAGTTTTTTAAAGAAATTTTAATCTAAAATTGACTAGATCTAAATCCTTAACGATACAACTTTTCCATTTATGTAATTTCATGTACCTCCTCAATCATTTATTAATGGAAGGATTAGGAAAAATATAGAGACAAAGAAGCATGGCTCTATGTAATTAAACTCTTATCATTTGTTCTCACTTCTTTTTTTTGGTTTTTTTTTTTTTTTTTTTTGCGCAGGTGATTCAAATCTCAAACTTCTATTAAAAAAGGTTTGAGCCGCGAAAATACACCAAAATAAGCTGTAATTTTTGAAAATTACAACTTTCAGTAAATTTATATTTGATATTAATAATATTAATATCAAAATCAGGTTGGTGTGTCCGTCCCCAAATGAAATAAAAATTAAAAAACAAAGTGACATGGGCCCGCCTCCTACGTAAACTCATTTCTCTAATTTTTTTTCCCTTTTATTTGCAAGACTGGCAAAAATATTATTTTAAAAGTAATAAGCCTTCAATATTTCATCTATTCTTATTTATTTTTAAGTTTCTCTGGAAAGAATCTGTGTCCTCAAAGCATGTTCAACACTTAGAGGTTGTTATTTATCCAACGTATTGTAAGATATAATCCACGTGAATAAATAATGGAGAATAAGTTTTAGCTTTTAAACTCAGTGAAAGTTCACAGCAAAATACTAATATTTTATTTTTATTTATATAAATGATACTTTCTCCGTCTTAAATTATTAAACATTTTTAAACAAAATCTCACGTATCAATCTCATTAAATACACTTTAAAATCTTATCTTTTTAAGATAAAAATATAAACTTTTAAAAATATCTTTCATTTAATACTCCATTAATGAAAGAATATTAATACTCCATTAATGAAAGAATATTGAAGGGAGAGAATATATGGAAAAGATAATTTTAAAAAAATATTATTAATGAAACCTTATTTTTATCAAAGTATTTTATATTTTAGAATACTAAACATTCTCTAAAAATGTCTTATAATTTAGAATGGAGGAAGTAGTAAATACTAATCTGATCCATTGTTAAAACATTCAAGAAGAAGATTTAGAGGTTGATAATCAAATTTATGCTCCAATCCTTGTTAGACCAATCATAATTAAATCATTTCATTAAATTAGTTAAGAAATCAATTCAATTATTTTTATAACGACACAACGTAGATTTTTTAAAACTTTTACCCCTAACCTTATAATTTCCATGAGAAATGGAGACACATCAATGTACATACACAAATGTTTTAATGCTGGGTTTGAATATGGGATCTCTTTGGAAGTGGCGCTCACAATTGGCAATGGGGTAATGACGTTAAGAGAGGAAAATTTTTATTTGAAAGAATATTATTGAAACATTTCTGAAAGAATTCAATATTTAATAAGGATCCTGAACAAATACAATACCTGTTAAGACGATAATTTCACTTCTTGTTATTGTTGTTAATGGTTAATGTTTATTTGTTAAGTATTATCAAACTCTGTTTTCGTTTATTTTGTGAAACCATGAAAAATGAAAAAGCATGAAGAAATGTGGGTTAGACTTACAAGAGTGAGCTTGGAGAGATGTTCATGAGCCGGAATTCCGCCATTACAGACCTCCTTAAGCTCTGCTCGAACCCTATCCTGCCACTCAGGGTTGCTGGCGAGCAGCATCACCGTCCACGTCAGCAACAACGCCGTCGTCTCATGTCCGGCGAAGAAGAAGGTCTTACATTGATCCTTAATCATCTGCAGATTCAAGCTAAACCCATCATTATTCCCTCTCTTCTTCATCTTCTTCTCCCTGTCCATCATCATCATCTCATCCAACAGTATCCCCAGCAAATCATTCCCATACGAATTCGTCCGTCCAATCTCCACACAATCCTTCCTGCTCTCAATTATATCCATCAACAACCTATCCACCTTTGTCTTCATCGCCTTCGTCTCTCTGTTATACCTGCTCGGAAAATACCTGTACAGAGATCATCTCAATATATATAAACTGGTAATCTTTCAATGGGTTAGCAGAAAACTCTGGAATTTTCGATAACCCATGGCTCACCGGCTTCCAGGAAACCAGAGATGACGACTTGCTTGAGCACAATGGGTCTGGAGATTAGTGAGAAGTTGGAATAATTGCTTTCCCTTCTCGTAGCTTGTACCGAACTCTGTTCTGGAGATTATATCAGCAGCGAGCCGAGTCATGTAATCGCTGATCTCAATCTCTGTGTGGCCTGATTCGAATGCATTTCGCAGTGATTGAAGCATCTCCTTCGTGCATTCCACCATGTGCCCAGAATACTCCTGTGAATGACAGAGAAGCATCGTGGTCGTCATCACACAAATTCCAAAAGAAACAGAACAGGGTGAATCAGTATCGATACCTTAAGCCTGTCTCCTGCGAATGCAGGGGCAACGATGTGACGTTGATGGTACCATTGTTGGCCATTCGCCATTAACAATCCTTCTCCAATGAAATGCTTCGACCCTTGTCGTTGCTGCCATGACCTCCCCGACACAGAGTTGTACTTGGCCAGAAACTCCTTGATCAGCTCCGTCTCCGTCAAACACAACCTAGGCTCTATTCCGTTCCAGTACAGAAACCTCTGTCCTGAAGAATCAAACAGTCAAAAAACGTTAAACATCACAGAGAAGAAGAAGAAGAAGAAGAAGAAGAAGAAGAAGAAGAAGGGGGGTGGTTAAGTTGATACCGTATTGGGGGTACCAGGCGGCGAAATGCGGGAGGAGGCGCGAGACAATGTCGTGGGTGATGGATTTCATGGGTTGGGATATGGCGGAGGAGTGAAGAGAGAGCATGTCGGAGATGTTGCCAGTGAGGAGGCGGCGTTTGGGGCCACGCACGCCTTGCTTCTCCATGATGCGTTGGATACGTCTGGGGGTGACGATGTAGCATAACAGAGTATCATACGCAACTCTGAGTAACAGAGTGACGAGTATAACCAAGAGGGTCACCACGACAACCATAAACATGGGGGAATCTGAATTTAGACTCCAGGAGAATGTAACTGTGAGAGCTAGAGAGAGAAAGAAAGAGAGAGAGTTATGGTTATGGAGAAATTTGATGGCAGAGAGAAGCATGGAGGCATAGCTCTGCCTCATATATATACATATAAACGGAGAGAGGGCAGAGAAGACGGGGAGGATTCAGATTCTTGGTACAGCCATTAAATATACGTAATATTTGAATATTTGAATCGTTGAAATTTTAATCAATTAAATTCACTCATTTATTAATTTTAAATAAAATATAAATTTAAAATTATTAATGTGAATTTCAACGATAGGTATTGAATTCAAAATTATTGATCAACCATGCATGAATGACAGTGTAGGTAAATGCATTGTTTTTATAAGGAAAGGTATTATTTCTTGTTATAATTTCTCTTATTCTCTTTATGAAATAGTGATAGATAAGATTTTTTTATCATATTTATTAGTCATGTCACAAATTTTTATTTAAAATTTTTCCTTTTATCCTTTTGTAAGAGGAAATGTGTTTCTTTTCTATCTCAAATTATAAAATATTTTTGGAGAAGATTTAACGTTCTAAAATATAAAACATTTTATTAAAAATAAAATTTTATTAATGATATTTTTTTAATATAATCCTTTACATATATTATTTTTTTTAATATTCTTTCATGAGTTGAGTGTGAAATGAAGGGTATTTTTAAAAGTTTATATTTTTGTTTTGAAAAAGTAAGATTATAAAGTGTATTTTATAAATATCAGATATTCAGATCCTCAATTAAGTGCATTCATACCAAAGTATTTAAAGAAATTTAAGATTATGAAGTATATTTTTTAAATATTAGATATTCAGATCCTCAATTAAGTGCATTCTTACGAAAGTATTTAAAGAAATTTTTTTCTTTGGGACAGTAACATATGAGGTCTTTTTGTCCTTTTTTTTAAAATAATATTGGTAAATAATTAACTATTACCACTTTAATTTTATTCACTAATAACATTTTTTTTTCAAAATACTTGTACTTTTCTTAATTAGCCTTCATATTCAATAATCAACAATTTAAGTGGGTTAATCTTCTATTTTAATTAATAGGAGATAATAATATCGCCAATTAAAAGGTTGAAATATACTCCATCGTTAAAAAATGTAAAGTATTTTTAATCTTTCAAGATGTAATCATTGCCTTTTTTTTTTAAAAATATTTCTAATGATAATAACTTTATATTTATTGTAGGGTGTTTAATAGAGGTAAATATAAAAAAATAGGGTTAGTTAAAAAGTAGATAACTATTTGATTGGGAGGTGAGATTCAGTTTAAAATATCTTACATTTTTAAATGGAGGAAGTAATTGATAAGGATTGTTCAATTGATAAGGATTTGACTTACATCTTGCAAAAATGTGGATTGGATTTTGTTATACTATTACAAAAATGTAAATATAAGATGCTATAAAAAATAACGGTTAAATAAAAATACGTCATATATGAGAGAGGTGGGTGATGGTTAGAAAATAAATGACAGGTGTTTAAATACCCGTCATTTAACCCATCATTTATTTCAACTTAATGTTTCATTTTTTAAAGGGAAAAAAATTCAAAAAATTAGATTTTAAATGACAGGTATTTTAAATACCCATCATTTAAAGTCTAAATAATATATGACGGGTGTCTTAAACACCCATCATATATTGTTGCCCAACGTTTCAATTTCTTAAAATAAAAAATAAAAAATTTTAAACTTTAAATGACGAGTGACCACCCATCATTTAAAGTGTTCAAAATATATGAGGGGTGTTAATATACATGAATAAATGACAGGTATTAAAATACCCATCATTTATTCCCTTTTTTATTTAGTTTTAGTCTCATTATTCATTCTTGCCCGTTCGTCTTCTCGTATATTCTCTCTTCTCCACCTGCACACAAAATTGGCAGAAATCTCTCAATTTTTCTCCATTGTTACCATCAACCACCTTAGTCCTCTCCGACGTAAAAGTACCACTACCTACGTCGTCCGCTGCCCCTCTCATTTGCTTTTTCTTTGTGTTTCATCCTCTCTTCTTCACGGTACATAGGTGTGTGATTTATATGATTTTTTTTCATTTTATTCCAATATCCTTAGATTTCTAGATTATGACATTGATTTATTTAATGTTATTAATTGTTTTATTGGTTGATTTTTTTTGTTTAAATTTCTCCTCATTTGTTGCCCATTTTGATATTGTGTGGTGTTAAAAATTATTAATGTTTGATTTTTTATTGACTTGATAATGATAGTAGATGATATACTTAACCTTAGGATGATTATTAAGATGAAAATTAGTGATCAAAATAGGATATTTATGATGATTGTATTTTTCTATGAATTTTGACTAGTTTATTTCAACAATTTTTAATTTAAATTTTGATCAGAGTAGTTTTATTATTCAAAACTACATATTGAAATATACTAGTGTACTAATTTTCATTATAATTGGAGTTCATTTTAATGATTAAAACTGATGTGCAGTTTCTCTAAAAATCATTGCTATTTTGTTGATATTTTTACATTTGGTAAAGAATGATTTGTTCTTGGATTGGGATTGCTAATATAAGATATGTGTAACCTTACAATGATCAATGAGACAGAAAACATTGATTAAAAATGATGTTTATATTGTTTTTCTTTTTTCTATGATTTTTGAACGAATTTTAGATATAATTTTATAATAATTAGAGTTAATTTGAAAATGCTATTTTGTGAGAATTCTGTTAGTGTTGTGATTGTATATGGTTGAAATTAGTTTGTTGAGTAAGATGCCAGGACTAAAAAGAAGGTTTTAGCCTGAAAAATACTTTCTTTATGTCGTTATACTGCCAAATTTTTTTCGGCGATCGAAGGAGTATGTGAATGCTCATGCATTGTGACTCATGATTCATTAACTACTCTATATTATATGTAGAGTAGTCAATTTCTTTATTGATAATTTTTCTATCATTCATTTCCTCCCCATATTCATGAGTTATTGATCACATTTTCTTGAATGAATTATCTTTTAGATTAAAAAGTTATGAATAAAGAATGGATGTTTGCCAATCGATTAAGTAAAGAGTATTTGAATGGTGTGAAAGAGTTTATGAGGTTTGCTCTTGAGCATGTAAAAGACCCTAGAAGAATAGTATGCCCTTGTATAAAATGTAGTCTTTTGAAGCAAATTAGTGCATCTGAGTTGGAAGACCATTTAGTGTGATATGGAAATGATGGAAATTACAAATGTTGGCATAAGTATGGAGAAACTAGAGAGGATGAGTGTACTAGTAATTGGGGGTATAAAGGAAGCTTTGAATTAGATGATTATGACACAGATACTTATAAGGGTAATTGTCTTGAAGAGATGGCCAATGCAATTGAAAGGGAACTTAAGGATTGTCCTGAAACGTTAGAGATATTGAAAAGTGATACAAAGAAACCCTTGTATACTGGTTGCACTAAATTCACAAAGTTGTCAGTGGTGTTGAAATTGTACAACTTGAAAGTGAGCAATAGATGGAGTGATAAGAGCTTTACAAAAAATCTTATACTTATAAAACAACTTCTACCTACGAACAACGAGCTTCCAAGGACTACATATGAGGTAAAACAAATGCTATGCTCAATTGGCATGAGTTATGAGAAAATATATGCCAACCCTAATGATTGCATATTATTTAAAAATGAGTATGCATCATTAATAGAGTGTCCAAAATGTAATGCCTTGTGCTACAAAGAGAACGAGAAGAGTCCAGAGACGCTGTTATGGTACTTTCCAATTGTATCTAGATCTAGACGGCTGTACAGTAGTATAGAGGATGCAAAAAATTTGACATGGCATGTGGATGAACAGATCAAAGATAGGAAGATTTGACATCCAGCTAACTTTTCTTAATGGGAAAAAATTGATCTTGATTACCCTGACTTTGGAGCAGAAGATAAAAACCTTCGCCTTGTATTATCGACTGATGGAATGAATCCACACGAGCTTCAAAGTAGTAGTCACAGTACATGATTGGTTATGTTGATAATTTATAACTTACCTCCATAGTTATGTATGAAGCGAACATATATGATGTTATCCATTCTAATTTCGGGGCTAAAACAGTTAGGAAATGACATAGACATATATTTGGCTCTTTAATTAAAAATTTAAAATTGTTATGGGAGTATAATGTTGAGGTATATGATGGATATAGAGAGGAAAGGTTTAATTCAAGAGCATTATTGTTTGGCATAATCAATGATTTTCTAGCACATGGTAATTTGTTAGGGTATAATATAAAGGCAACCTCGAATGTCTTATTTGTAAAGAGGGCACACATTCAGTGAGATTAGAACATGGGACGAAGAATGTCTATCTTGAAAATCATATATGGTTGCATCCTAATCATTATTATTGGTGCCTAAAAAAAGCTTTCAATGGGAACTCAAAAGAAAGTAAGGCACTTTTGCCACTTATATGTGAGCAATATTTGATAAGGTGAAGAATTTGAATCTCGAGTTTGACAAACCTTTTGCAAAGCATCTTGGGACATGTGGGTGGAAGAAAGGTCTATTTTTTTGATCTACCATATTGGCAATCCTTATATGTAAGACATTTTCTTAATATCATGCACATTGAGAAAAATGTGTGCAACAATTTGATTAGTACATTACTTCATATTCCAAGAAAAAACCAAAGATGGCATCAAGGCAAGACTTGATATAATTTATATGGAGATAAGGGAAAAGTTGGCTCCAGAACAGAAGGGAAGTCACATATTTCTTTGTACAATGGCTCATACACCATCTAGAAAAAAAAAAGAAGACTTTTTGTGAGTCGCTTGCTATTGTTAAATTTTCATAGGGGTACTCTTTAAATATTAAGGGCCTTGTGTTATTGAAGGATTTGAAGTTGAAGGGTTTAAAATTGCATGATTGCCATGTGTTGATGGAAAAATTTTATTTCAGTGGCTAAATGTTCTATTTTATCTGACACAATTCAAGCCACAATCACAAAATTGTATTTCTTCTTCAAGTCTATATTTAGTAAAGTGATTGACCCAATAAAATTACTAAGATTGCAAAGCCGAATAG